CGAGCCCGGATATACAATTAGTTTTGGAATCCGACCTCAATTTGAGGTCTAAATCCATAAATTTTGAAATCCTTAGCTTCTACAAAAAAATCCCCAATTCCACCATGATAACCCTAGATTCTAGGATGAAATCTTGTTAAAAGAGTGAAAGATTGAAAGAAATGAGTTAAGAATCACTTACCTATGATTTGGGGAAGAAAAAGTCTTTGGAAAATCGCCTCTTGTGTTCTAGGTTTGGAAAAATGGGAGAATGAATGAAAAATCCCGTCTAAGTCCCTTTTAAACAGTTGCAAATGTCGCGTTTGCGACCTGAGCTTCGCAACAAATGTAAGAATGGCAACGCAAATGCGAACATATTGTTCGCAAATGCAAAGGTGGGATCGCAATTGCGACCACCTTCTTCGCAAGATCAATTTCGCAAATGCGAAGGATTGTTCGCATTTGCGAACAGAGGCTAGCTTGGCTTCTCTTTGCAGTTGCGATGAGAAGCTCGCAAATGCGACCTCAGTAGTAGTCGCAAATGCGAAGTTTGACCTCGAATTTGCAAGGTCTGAGGCCTGCAACACAGCTGAAGAATACCAGCAATTTTTTCTAAGTTCAAAACACCCGAAGCCTATCCGAAACTCACCCGAGCCCTCGGGGCTCCAAACCAAACATGCACACAAGTCTTAAAACATCATACGAACTTGCTCGTGCGATCAAATCGCCAATATAATACCTAGAACTACGAATTTAGCACTAAATCACATGAAATTCTCAAGAACACTTTGAAATTCCTATTTTCACCACCGGACGCCCGAATCACGTCAAATCAACTCTGTTTTTCACCGAATTTCACATACATGACTTAAATATTATATTGAACCTGTACGGGGCTCCGAAACCAAAATACAGGCCCGATACCAACGAGATCAAACATTAATCAAATTCTTTAAACCATTAGATTTTCACATTTACAATTTTTAACAAAAATTCATTACTTGGGCTAGGGACCTCCGAATTCGATTCCGGGCATACGCCCAGGTCCCATATTTTATTGCGGACCCACCGGGACCGTCAAAATACGGGTTCGGGTCCGTTTACTCAAAACGTTGATTGAAGTCAACTAAAATCAACTTTTAAAGGCAAAAATTATTATTTTTCTCAAATTTCCACATAAAGGCTTTCTAAAAATGTGTCCGGACTCCGCACGCAAATCGAGGAGGAATAAAGTGAGGTTTTGAAGAGTTCGGAACACAGAATCGAGTTCTAAAATACAAGATGACCCTTTGGGTCATCACATTTAGTCACATATATATTGCCTATCTAAAGATGTCATATATGTTTGGTTAAAATATTTAATTACCTATTAAAGACTAAATGGCATTTGAATTATGACAGTGTGTCGTAGTATTTACCCAAAGAAGAATTGCGATATACTTTTATTGTTTACTGAATCCATATTGATTTGTGAGCATGTATTATCTATTTTGCATGCTTCGTCTGTTACTGTATTCAATGGATTGAACTTCTCTAAATGGCATGAACTAGTCCAATTTCACTTAGTTGTGATGGATCTTGACTTGGCTTTGTTGAATGATAAGCCCGCTGCGAGCTGTTCCACGACCCTCGATCAGATGATCTTGGCCGAGCTACCTGGATCAATTAACACACGCTTAACTCGAGATTTATTTATGAGTACAAATATTACAAGTGCATCGTTGTGGAGCTGCACGGTCCCTTCTGCGTCTTCGTCATTGAAAGATAAAGTTCCTTCGGGCCTGGGAATGTCGACCCCACCGATGGTCATGTTAATGACATGTTGAGGTTCTTCCTGCTCGACCTGTTTATTAGCATCTCTATTCCTAAAATGATTCTTGGCTCGATCGCTCAGGAACTCTTGGAGATGTCCGTTATTGAATAGCCGGGCTACTTCCTCTCTTAATTGTCGGCAATCTTCTGTTCTGTGTCCGTGAGTGCCATGATATTTGCACATTAGATTAGATCCCTTTGGGCTAGATCGGGATGTAGAGGTCGAGGCCATTTGGTGTCTTTGATGCGTCCGATGGAAGATACGATGGCGGCATCATTGATGTTAAAGTTGTATTCCGATAATCTTGGCGCTTCCTTAGGCCCGATGGGCCTGACGAAACTATTTTTGCTCATGAATCCCCGATTGTTTTGACCTCGAGCGATCCTCCTCTCACTTCTCACAAGATTTCGCCCGGACTCGTTACCTCTTCGGTCCCCGTTGTACGATTTTTGACGATCTCTGCTTGATCTTGGTTCACGATCAATGTCTCTCTTGACCCTATCGACGACTCTAATGGGATAAACGGACCCAGAAGGGGCCCAAGTTGATCGTCTTCGACCCTGATTTTCAATTGATATTGGTTATGCACGTCGGCCCAAGTAACAGCCGGATATTCTACCAGATTTTGTTTCAACTGTTGTGAAGCCAACAAGCTTCGAACATTGAGTCCTTGGGTAAAGGCCTAAACGGCCCAATCATCCGCAACTGGACGCAGGTCCATCCGTTCCATTTGAAATCGAGATACGAATTCTCTGAGCATCTCGTTGTCCCTCTGTTTCACTTTGAAGAGGTCTGACTTTCTAGTCTCGGCCTTGATAGCCCCGGCGTGAGCTTTCACGAAGGAATCTACAAGCATAGCAAACGAGTCAATAGAATTAGGAGGTAAATTGTGATACCATATCATAGCTCCTTTTGACACAGTCTCCCCGAATGTTTTCAGCAGGAGATATTCGATATCATCATCTTCCAAGTCATTCCCTTTGATGGCGCATGTGTAGGAGGTCACGTGCTCATTTGGGTCAGTCGTTCCGTTGTACTTAGGAATCTCGGGCATGCGAAACTTTTTAGGGATCGGCTTCGGAGCTGCGCTCGGAGGGAAAGGTTTTTGAACAAACTTCTTGGAATCCAAGCCTTTTAATATCGGCACTGCTCTAGATATTTGATCGACCCTAGAATTGTAAGTTTCCAATTTTTTGTCATTGGCTTCGATTTTCTTCTCCTGACTCTACACGTTTTGTCAGCTCCTCGGGCATTTTTATGATCTCGGGGTTGGTTCCTCATTCATTTTCATTTGGCCTCTCCGCGACCGGTTCATTTCTGCGAATGACTTCCCGAGACTGCTCAGGCTCAATTCTGCTCGGGCACGGCTCTGGTTTTGGAGCTGGGCTATTGCCACCTGTTGAGCCTGTATCATTTTGAAGATTACCCGCAAGTTGATCCCATCATCCTAGCCGTCGTGCGTATTTTGTGCAAACGACCGGATTTCCCTGCGGATACTATTCTCAGGATAGGTAGGCAAATTTGTTGATGGCCACATGCGAGCTAGCGTCGATCGGGTCCGCAACCGAGAATCTGTATGGGTCTACGAGGGGCACCTCATCACCGGGTGCTACATTGTTGTTCTCGCCATGGTGGTCGGGTTCAGCATCCACATTTAGAGGGGCAGACTGGGAGTTCGACGTTTTGAACTTTAACCTGAAATCAAAGGTACTCCAAAGAACAAGTGTAAAATAGGGTGTGTTATAGAAGTTTGTATCAAATAGCCACTATTATCCTTAGCCCCGCGGTGAGCACCAAACTGTTTACCCTCAAAATCGGATAACAATTAAATTTGTAAGTGGTTTTAAGGATACGCGGATTAACTTGACACAAAGCAGTAAATTGGATTAGATTGAACAAGTAAAGATAAAAATGAATTCAAACCACATGAATTGGATAGTTTCAGCCTTAGTAAAATTGTTCACCCTCGATCCGGGCTCGCTATAATCAACACTGATGAACAAGAGGAAATAGCTAAACAACAGAGGAAATGATAATATAATGCTTTGGAATGTGTGATACAATGTGTGTTATGAAACATCAGACCCCCTTTATATAGTAGGGGAGTCCTACTTTAGGTACAACTATATAAAAAGTAAAAAATCTTCTAATTAATTGATAGTCGATTTCTTATCGATACGTGCCGAGATCCCCGTCGTGATATTCGGCCGGTCACGGATATCACGGCCTTCTGTTGGCCGGGCTTGATTACCTGACTACGTCCTTCGAAGTTAATCAAGGCTAGGACCGATCTCGAACCTTGACCCCGATATCCTCGAGGGTAGGTGTTATGGTCCCGGACTCCAAATCGATGAGACCTCTACCTTGGTCTCGGCCCCTTGTTGTCATATCTCGAGCTTGGCTTATCATGTCGGAGACCGGGGTGTACCACGAGACCGGTTTTACCCATATACAAAATGCAAACCCGTATATTGTGTAAATATAACATGCAACCAAAATGTCTTTTGATGATAAGTTTTAACTGTCAATGCCAAAGTCCTTAATTTTATGGTGGTTTGTTTAAGAACATGACCATGAGTTTATTTGGGCAAGATAGAGACATCTTCTAAGATTTTCTTGTTCGATCTAGCTGGAGATTCAAAATATGGTCATTATAATGCTGGCTTATAGCTAATTGTAACCTACTCTTACTTGGCACAAAAAGCTGAATAGTAGATGTTTTAAGCTATTCCAAGAAGGATTGCTTTAATTATATACACAAGCATATTAATGAAATACTATGAAGTTAAAACCATGGATACCTTAAGTGTTGTTAATGAATTTAATGATAAACAAACATATACATTCTTAGAATTGAACACCAAAATATGCAGCCAATTCTAATATCGATCATCACTAAAAAAAAATAGTTATACGCACGTCAGAATCTAATAGAACATCCCAAGAGTAGAGTGTCTGACGTGCTTATCTATCATTGAATCCATCAACAACAATTTGAATATCTTAAGTTCTTATGTTACATTTCGACATTTATATAAAAGATTAAGGCGATTTTTCACGGAATACTAAAAATACTCTTACCTTCCAACTTATTGTGCCAAGTAACAAATGTTACACTGAGCTTTGTACCAACATTGGCTATGTTTATAATCTTTAGCCCCTAAACTTTTCTAATGGAAGAAGCGCAAATGCCTTTAAGTCTATCTTATGGTTATGCTGTTTAAAATCTATACAACTGAACTTGTTGGTGGTTGACGCTTTGTTGTTGGACATTGATCAAATTTTATGGGCTGAACGAAGCACTCCTACTCTCTAGTGACTAAGAAATGAGCTTCTTCATTAATTGGCGGAGACTGTTGACATGTGGTACAAAAAGAAAGTCATTTTTTGGAACTTTCATATAGGAATAAGCATTCGATTTGTATATATTTGTATATAGCCAATGTGAAAACCTAAATTAAGCAAGTATGAAGAGAGAAGAGAAACGACAGAAGTTCCATGAAGGCCTCCTTCGAATGCTCTATCCTCCTCCACCTTCACCTCCTCCCCTAGTAAATCCCCATTATTTTTCTACTCGCTCCATCATTACCCTTTCTTTTTCATAGTGTTAAATGACTTATTATTTTCTTATCCCCATTACGATTGTAGGAAGAAAACGATGAAGAACCACTTCACATTCTCGGACAAGGCATCAACTTCGATCAAATTCCAGGTTTTTTTTAATTTATAGGAGTATTTTGTGTTATATGAGTATAATTTTGATGTCTGTGCAGTCGTGATGCAGTTTTAGTAATTAGGTCTTATATATGCAGATGAAGCGGAAGATGATAGGGGCTCTTCCTCCTCTGACGACCAGGCGTCTGATCATGGGCCTGATCAGAAGCTCACAAGGGCCAAGAGGAAGAGGCTTCGACGAAAGAAGCTTAAGGAAGCCGCCTCTCACCGCCAGAATATAATTGGGCCGTTGTTACCTACCGCAGAGAATGATCGGAATGGTGAAAATGTGAGTACGACAGAAGAGGAACCACAAGGCGTTCGACAAAATGCCAATGAGCCAGGTATGCTTTGAGGAGTAAAAAGTAGCAATAGCAGTAGTTTTCTTGTCTCTCTCCTTATTTTCACTTTGGATTTATTTTATATGTGTTGAAATTGGAAGTGAATTTTTACAGAGGCAGTATAATTCAGCATGCTTAAAAGGTTTTCTCATCTTACTCTATGAAATATTACCTTTAATTACCTTAAGGTGACCTGACACTGCGAACAACTTTTTACATACTGAATGTATATAACTTTTAGCACTTGTCCATTATCAGGTGATGCAGACTCTTGCTCGAAACAAAACAGACTAAAACAAAGAAGAATTGCTAAACGGTTGGTTGGTGGCAGCTCAAAATCAACTAGTGAAGGCGACAAACCTTAAAAATCCCTATCCTTTTGCCAAGAGCTAAAGCTTGGCGGATTTCTTGTGAAATGAAGGACCACTGGAACAGGCAGAAGTTAAACTATAACTGTTAAGAAGAAATCGAATTTGATACTACTATGGACAAAATTTTAAGAAGCAAGTTGGATTTGTATCTTTTCAAAAATATCTAACGCATAGTTTTTATTTTGAACTGTGTGGTTCATGTTCGTGTACGTATTGCAGTCTGCAGATGTCTTCTTCCTAGTTAATTTAGTGCTTCAGTGTACAGTAGTACTGTAAATATTTCTCAATTGATTATTTTCTTTTAAAGACATAACTTAATGACACGTTGGAGAAGCCTTGTTTAAAGAAATACTCAAAGTTTGGAGAAAACCTGTTTCTGAGAACATTCGAAGTTTTCCGGAAAAGGCATTTGTCTGGCTTGAACTAGTGGTATAACTTCAACTTATAGCTTGTTTGGCATAGCTCCAAAAATTGGCCTTTTTTTAAATATTTTTTGTGAGAAGCAGTTTGTGTTTGGCTAATTAATTTGAAAAGCACTTTTGAGCATCAATTGGTGTCTGGCTAAGCTATTAAAAACTGCTTCTAAGTGTATTTTTCTCAAAAGTGCTTTTTAAAAAAGTGATTTTGGAGATAATCTATTTTTTTCTGCTTCTGCTTCTCCTCAAAAGCATTTTTTCTTCTTAAAGCTTGGCCAACTTTAAAAAAAGAACTTTTTTTGAAATGCTTCTAGGATTTGAAAAGCTTGGCCAAACGGGCTATTAATGGTGCTGATCCATTTCCATGGACCTCTGGCTTCTGAAAGTGAGAACTTCGGGCGTCTTACTAACAAAGAGGAAGGAAAAATAATCCACTGACCATGAGAGATCATCATGGTTACGTTATGCAATATGAATCCAAATTAATTGAGCTATCTCAAATGGTACTAATTTGAATCCAAATTAGTTGAGCTATCTCAAAAATATTACCATTTTATAGTTGCTCCAGTGGTTAAGAAATCAAGACTGAAGGGATAAGTGATAAACTATAGTTAGAAAAGAAGTCAGCGGCAGGAATGCAGGATCTTAGCCAAGCGGAAGGTATGGCGTAAAGTACTGAGGCAGCACTTTCTTATTTTAAAGGAGAGGGTGCACTCATTTAAGATTCCTTTTGTTCTTATCTTCAAAAATCAATGGTCTATTTTCATTAGTCAATAAGATTACTATATTGCAATTCTTGTTGCTATTATCGCTAGCCGCCACTAGAAAAGGTGCATATCAGTAAAGTCAAATGCACTATCGCACTTGTGGAAACTTCCACAGTTTGACACTTTGTGGATTTGTTAATTCACAAAGTATAAGTTATGGTTTAAGTGACTAATAGACAGGGTAAAAACTAATTTTCTTTCACATGTATACAAGTTAAACGTTTTTTTTCCTTGGACAAGAAAGATGCTTGAGAGTCACGCCTCCGTACTCAATTTGCTCAATCCAAAATAGTCATAAAATGGAAGAATCTGGAAACTCTAATATTCTTAGCTAGTCCCAATACAAATTCAGTAAAACTGAATGTTGCACATGGTAACAGCCTTATCAGTCCCCAAATCTCAACCCTAGATAGATTAAAAACGCCCACTTACCCTGTTAGCATTAAAATCTTCTTACTCAACCAGTCCATGCCCATTTTGTCAAAATTAATATTTTATAAGGAAAGCAAATGCGCGAATTAATTACAGATCTTAAGTTTCTTGTAAGAATCAAGAAGCCCAACTTATAATATTACTATATATTATTCCTTCTCATCGATTCCACAATATTTTTATTTTCAGCAATTTTCGTTACTCAACCCCTAAAGTCCAATGAGATTCATCCAGCTGACTAATTAATATAATATAGTAGTATTTCTTCTGCTGGTCCATTAATTAGACTTCCATAGGCCATTTAAAGCACACATTGCATCCCGAGACGTTCTCACTCTAAATCTTATACTACTCCCATATTTGCAATTATCTTCCATTTACGTACACCGGCCATGGCCCATAACGTCTTTCGGGCCAAACAACAATCATCGTCTTCACGAGACAAATCTCTCTTCCTAGCAGCCATAGTAGCCCTTTTACTTGTCTGTGCTATTTGGTCTTTTACTGATCCTTTTCCTAATTTCTCAAATTTCTTATCCAAGCAAAACGTTACTTCACCGGAATATTGTCCACCGGACCGGGAAGCCGTTGACCGGAGATATGACCCGCCGGAGAAGACATTCTACGATGACCCGGAACTCAGTTACACTATTAATAAACCTATCAAAAACTGGGACGAGAAGAGAATCCAGTGGCTGAAGCTTCATCCTTCATTTGCAGCCGGCAGAGCTAACCGTGTACTCCTCCTCACTGGATCACAGCCCACTCCATGCAAGTACCCTATAGGTGATCATTTACTCTTAAGGTTTTTTAAAAACAAAGTTGACTACTGTAGAATCCACGGCTACGATATTTTTTACGGTAACACGTTTTTGCACCCTAAAATGCGTTCCTATTGGGCCAAGATACCGCTTGTTCGGGCCGCCATGTTAGCCCATCCTGAATCCGAGTGGATTTTATGGATTGACTCGGATGCTATCTTCACTGACATGGATTTCAAAATCCCACTACACAAGTACAAGGACTACAACTTCATCGTTCATGGCTGGCCTGATTTGATTTTTAAGAAGAAAAGCTGGGTCGCCATTAATGCAGGGATTTTTCTTATAAGAAATTGTCAGTGGTCCATGGACTTCTTAGACGTTTGGGCCAATATGGGCCCGAAAAGCCCAGAATACAAGCAATGGGGCAAAATATTAAGGTCAACTTTCAAGGATAAAACCTTCCCGGAATCCGACGATCAATCGGCATTAAGCTATATTATAATGAAAGGAGAAGAAAAATGGAGGAGCAAAATTCACGCGATTACTGATTACTCTTTACACGGGTACTGGCTAGGAATAGTGGATAGATTTGATAACATCACGGGAAATTACGTGAAGATAGACAGAGACGTACCTAAGTTGCGGAGGAGACACGCGGAGGCAGTGAGCGAGAGTTACGCGGCGGCAAGGGAGCCGTTGGTGGCGGAGGGCGGTGATTGGAAGGGTGGTTGGAGGCGGCCGTTTATAACGCACTTCACGGGATGTCAGCCGTGTAGTGGGGACCATGCTGCGGAGTATGTGGGCGATAAATGTTGGGTGGGAATGGAAAGAGCGTTGAACTTTGCGGATAATCAGGTGCTACGTAATTTTGGATTCATGCACGATGATATCAAAAGCAATTCACCTGTCTCTCCGGTAACTTTCGATTTTCCAGCTGAAGAAGTAGAAGAATTCGTGTGAATAAACATCGCATACCTCAGTTTTTACTGTAGGATTCTTGCTACGTTCATAAGTCTTGTGAATTTTGGATGTGTTTTAATTCCAGTCTCTTGATCTATATTTTACCGCTATTACCGCTGTATTTGATAGTTTATTATTGGAATAGCAACAAGTTTTTATAATCCCATACAAAAACTATGGGACTAGTTTTACCTCAAGCAATGCTTTTTTAACATCCATTTTTATTTCTGGTTTTTTCTTTATTAAAGTAAACATTTCTTAGTCCAGTTTCGTAAGCCGATACTTTTGGCAATCAATAGTATTAAGAAATGTCTACTAATGTGGAGAAGATACTTTTTTGGTCATTCTTCTTTTGTTTCCAGTTCCAAATGAAAGAATCGTTTGACGAAAAGGGCGCAAAATAAAAAGAGAGTTGCCTGAGGTAATTAACAAAGAACAATGTCACAAGTATAAGCTAAAGCAATTCAGTATGGAGCTGCTTTTTACCGCTCACCCTTTTTTTTTATTTCATGTAGAAGTGTCCTAATCCAGGTTTGTAAGTAATAGTTTGGCAATTAATAATTCAAAAAAGTTCCATATTTTAAGAAATTGTCGACAAGTGTGGACAACACTTGTTGGTCATCATTCAACCTATGATTTTCCAGTTCCAAACGAAAGATACGTTTGAAAAAAAGTGCGCAAAAGAGAGTGGCCTGATTGACTGAGGATTGAGGGAGATTGGATAATAATTATAGAAAAGGAAAAGAATTAGAAGATGCAGGCAGCTCCCTCAATTAGTGGCGTGTTTCATCAATTACATATTTGTCAAAATTCGCACGCCAAAGTTGTGTGACAAAGCTTAAACCAAACTTCCACCAATCTTCACAAGAATTCTTTTCTCTTATTTGTTTGCTTGTGTCTGCTGTCTAGCCCTAAATGCTTCTTTTCCTTTTCTATTCCTTCTTTACCTTTTTGAATTCTACTTCAGTCGTATTTTCCCTGCTAATGCCTTTTATTCATGTTACCCTGGACAACAACAGAATGAGACTAAGGAACACAAATGTTTTTCTCCGTTATTCTTGAAATTTGATAGGTAAAACTATAAGTTGTAGATAGATTTTTCAAACATAAGATTTGATCAATTTCAAAAGGTCATCATTTCGAGGTTATCAATTTATGCTTAGTGTAGATACTTATCCTTTTTAATTTAATAAATAATTTGAATGCATAAATATCTCTCATTAGATAAAAAGTAAATGAAAGATATGTTGAATAACTTATACTTTGATGTAATCAGTTCAATTTTATGTTTCTTACCATTCAATTCTACAACCTTGTGAGGAGAAACTGGAAACAGCCATGGTGTCAGTCAGAAATTTATTGACTGGTCTCGCCTGTAAAAGCGGAGAGATTCATGTTTTCCCTTTCTAGGGAATGAAATATTGAGAGACCCAAGTGGGTTAGGAACTTCCACTTGGGCCTACAAAGTTAGTTGGACTCCACCCACATGAGCCCAAATTTTAATTTTTGTTTAATTGATACGCAAACGTAACCCTTGATTTTTCTCTTATCACAGTAACCTCCTTAATGGCTTTGGGATAAGACACATAAGATCAGATGATACATGAGTGACACCGACATACTTTTAAGTATGAAGCAACAAAATTCATTATTGCGTCTTTGCATGAAGATAATGCAGTAATATCGTTTTGAAAGCAATGCGTCCCAAAAAACCTAGACACATGTTTATAAAGTAATGTTGTTTGGACAAGATATAATAAAACAAACTTAAAACACAAGAAATATGCGGTCCATAATTTGTGCAAATCAGTCGAATGGCTCTCTCTCACTCTTGTATGGGTCAAAATATGCCCTAAAATATTTGGGGCAA